ATTTTTAAATTAATTTTTAGAAGTTGCTATGCAGCTTTTTAGGTGTGAAATTGTCTCAGGAATCCAACGCACTAAGTTCCGAGGTGATCCGGGCAATATTTCCGGAGCTAGACCGGTTCTCATGGGGTCCATAGCGAAAAATCGCTTCTTGTCACGCATCGGCCGAAGGATGTTCAATTTTCAATTTTTAAATTAATTTTTAGAAGTTGCTATGCAGCTATTTAGGTGTGAAATTCTCTCAGGAATCCAACGCACTAAGTTCCGAGGTGATCCGAACAATATTTCCGGAGCTAGACCGGTTCTCATGGGGTCCATAGAGAAAAATCCCCTCTTGTCACGCATCGGCCGAAGAATGTTCAATTTTTAATTTTTAAATTAATTTTTAGAAGTTGTTATGCAGCTATTTAGGTGTGAAATTGTCTCAGGAACCAGACGGACTAAGTTCCGAGGTGATCCGAGCAATATTTCGGAGCTAGACCGGTTCTCATGGGGTCCATAGTGAAAGATCCCCTCTTGTCACGCATCGGCCGAAGAATGTTCAATTTTTTATTTTTGGGTCAATTTTTAGAAGTTGCTATGCAGCTATTTAGGTGTGAAATTGTCTCAGGAATCCAACGCACTAAGTTCCGAGGTGATCCGAGCAATATTTCCGGAGCTAGACCGGTTCTCATGGGGTCCATAGAGAAAAATCCCTCTTGTCACGCATCGGCCGAAGAATGTTCAATTTTTAATAAATTAATTTTCAGAAGTTGTTATGCAGCTATTTAGGTGTGAAATTGTCTCAGGAATCCAACGCACTAAGTTCCGAGGTGATCCGAGCAATATTTCCGGAGCTAGACCGGTTCTCATGGGGTCCATAGAGAAAAATCCCCTCTTGTCACGCATCGGCCGAAGAATGTTCAATTTTTAATTTTGACGTCGAAGACGTCATAGCGCTCAGTTTCAGCGAAAATCGTCACGGAGAGGGAAATCGCTACAGAGCGCACTCAGCCAACCAGAGACCGGCGAAGAGTGCGTCGCCTGGGAGAGGAGGAGCGCAAGCAGCACAGAGCAGCATAGAGCGCAGCTCTACCGAGGCTGGCGATGAGAGTGTCGCCCGGGAGAGGAGGAGCGCGAGCGGCACAGAGCAGCATAGAGCGCAGCCGCTCCACCGAGGCCGGCGGAGATCGCCTGGGAGAGGAGGAGCGCGAGCACCACCGAGCAGCATAGAGCGCAGCTCCACAACGCGCAGGCGGCGTAGGGAATATATATTATATATTATATATATATGAATATATTGCGCTCGCTCAAGAATAGAAAGCATCCTTAAAGAGCAACGGGAGCCGTATGGATGTATTCGATTTATTTAGTAATCGAATCATGATTATATAGAGAATTGCGGCATCGATCGCTTTTCGATGCTTCATCGGGAATCACACATATGGATTCACTTCAGGGACAATCAGACCAGGAAGAATGAAAGAAACTTTCATTGATCGGTCTCTTCCTCGGGAATCGTCTCCATGACAATGAGTTGAGGCCGCGGCTCATTCTGTGAAATGGAGAGTCGATGTTATTTCGTGCCCTCGTGGAAAAATCTATTCCTTTGCCTGATTTGTTTCGGGAACGCGCTCCTAGCTAATGGCTTCCATAGAATCACCTCGTAAACTCTCACGGAGTACTTCAATTTCATCGCGAATTTCTTCCCAGTGATTCCGTCGATCAGGGCGCCGAAGCTCTCCCCTTTCTCGATCCGTTGCGCGAAAGTGTTCGCGTCCGATCGCAGCAGTTTTTCCGCGCACTGAAGTTCAATGATATTTTCGTCAAAGGTCTCGCTTAATCGCCAATTACATCAGACTTATTCTCAAGATATTTGGACTCACGTCGTTGAAAATTGTGCACCACATTTCGGTGGGCTCGTCTTCAAGAAGGGCTCGCAGCAAGAACCGCCACGTGAATTCTCTCGTCTGAATCTGACAGCTCGGACAGCGGTAGAATCCCCCAGACCGGTCCTCCATTTTTCTGCGGCAGTTATCTTTCGCGCAAGCTTTGTACATCAGCGGCTCCTGAACGATGGTTGCGATTCTTAAGTGGTTCTTGAAGATAATTGGAGGCAAGTCGGCTGCTTCGAGTGTGACTCTCAGCTCGTCTACTACTTCGTCGAAGCTCATCGTTCTACATTTCTGCAATTTAGGATCAGGGGTTCTTAGCTGCCGCCTGTCCTCTTCGTTCGCTTTCCACCATTCGGACAGAGCTCGGATTCTGTCCGTAGTCAGGTTGAACTCTAGCTTCGCGCCCGAATCGCAGTTCAAGCTCACAGTGTTGCGGTAGGAGTTCGTCCGTCCTCGCCTAATCGAAATCGGAAGATTTTCTATGACCGGGAACTCTATTGCCGTCTCCCAGAGAGTGACGATTACGGGTCTCCGATATTCATCGATGATGCGAATGTCTCTCTTCTGGATTGTTTTCTGATCTCTCTTGCGAACTATAGCCTGAGGCTGCGATATCTGAATGACGATGCCGCAAACATCGACGATCGCGTTCGGAGCAACGCTTTGAAGTTTACCCAATGATGTGGAGTCCGGATCCTTGACTGTGATGTTCAAGAGAGCTCCGACGCAGAGTCGGAGGTTCGTCTTCTTGTCCAGAACGATCTCGTATTTGCTTGCCGTATAGTTGAACTTCGGGTTGGCCACACGGCAATTGAAGTTGTCCAGCTCGTACACTTGACCCACCTGTAGCCTTTCCTCAAAATCATCGCAATTCTTGTTGAATGCAGCCAGTCTCATGTCTGTCGATTCGTCGGCCACGACACAGGAGAACAATTTTCCTTTGCTATGTTCTTTGTCCCACACGAATGCTGGATTTTTCGAGATTACTCTGAATCGATACTTCCCTGATGCCCAGCCCGCTTTCAAGGCTTTCAGTTCTGAAAGCGTGTTGCTTGGACCCTGCCCTTGCGACTGGTCATCCTCGATCATTTGACGCGTCAAATGCTTCAAATCATCACTGTTGCGATAAGTCACATAAAGACCTCGCGCCACTCGGAACCTCATGATTTTCGCAGCCATATAGAGAATATGTTCGGGTGTGGCACCGCGCCGGTCTCTCCGACGAATCTCACTAGTGGCCATTTGAAATGGTGTGACAGAGAGTCCTTCCCTGAATCGTCTCGGCATTCCATAATACACGGCGGGAAAGGATAGTTCTTCGGCGTGCTCGTCGTAAACGATGCAGAGGGGTGTGGCTTTCTGTCCCGGCGCGATCACCAAATACTTTCCTTCGTTCCATAACAACGTATGCTGATTAGCGAGCAACATTTCGGCGTCGTTGTCTCCATCGACGGTCTCGAGTTCTTCCACTTCGTCGGTAGATCCCTCGTCGAGCCGGCTCCAATCAACTTTGATGTCGTAAAATTTATACAATGGCGTGTTCTGAAGATACTCGAGCCATATTCTGACGTCACTCTTCTTCACCAAACCAGAATAGGCTGTACTCTTGTGTATGATATGCCTTTTGAGGGACACGTTGAAAGCGTAATCGTCGGAGAGCTCTCGTGGCAAAATTTTCACCGTCGATTCCACGTCAATCGGCACATTAATCACTTGACCAACGATAGAGTAATTTCCGGAGTCCCGTCGCAAGCGACGAATTTGAATTGGCAAAATTTTCACCGTCGATTCCACGTCAATCGGCACATTAATCACTTGACCAACGATAGAGTAATTTCCGGAGTCCAGTCGCAAGCGACGAATTTGCATGGTATTCGGGGACTAACAAGGCGGGTCGTGATTGCATTAAGTTCTGGCAAATTTGACGGTACAGGTGGGTATCGGAAACCATTAAATGCTGCCAAGGTTGGAATCCGTCCATTATTCAGAGCCTGGGCGCACGCGTGGCATAGGAGGGAATCGGTCGTAGAGCAACCGATCTCTTGGAGTTTTTCAGAGTGCACTGACCGTGCCGCGAGTAAATCATTGCGAAACCACAGTCGATCGCATACGGAGCATGGGTGTCCGAACTCTTGTTTGATGAACCTCTCTCTGAACTCTTCGGAAGCTCGATGAGAATTTCCGCCGGCTTCAACCTGTTTCTTATGTTTAAGACGTTGCCGATATCTTCGGCTGCGCTCAGCTTCAGAAAGTGGGGACGGAGATGGATTTTGGGCGCAATCCGAATTGCCAGAAGAAGTTCCAAGGAATGAGGAGTCGAAAGTACATGTTGTTGACGATTCCCACGAGTCCGAATCCGACCATCCGTCATCTTGCTGCGTGCATGGCATTCGCGCCATCCTCACAAGAAATTATCGAGGATTTCTGCTCACCCCGATTATATGAATTATCGAAGATCGCAGACGCTGCTTGAGGGCGAACTCAGCTAAGCTCTTGGTGCTCTGCCCTTATCGCTTATCGCACAAATGGTCCGACTGAGTACTAGAAACTCGATCCTTATTGGTATCTGGGAGTGCGCTGGGAACGATTACTGCGTTGAGGAAGTCCGAAGGAACTGCTTTGTCCCACTCCGGAAAACCTGCGATGAAGGTCCAGAAGAGTTGCGCTGAAGTAGAGCGTTAAGGTCGGAATCTGACCTGCGCACTTGGCGGCCTGATCATTTATCGAAGCGGCTGAGAGCGGCGATATCGGCGACCTCTGCTCAGAGAAAACCCAGGGCCATCGGGGACGATTCGAGCGCGGGCCGTGAATTATAATTATCGTGGAGCAATGCAGCAGCCTTGGAAGCTGCGATCGGAGCGTGCTCGGCGGCGAAGGGAAAAACTGTCACCGCTGAAGACCGAAAGAACCGACTATATGAATGCGATAGGAATCTTTCACAATACTGACCGAGGGCTATCGTTACCGATAACACTGACTGCGTTATCAGAGAGATGGGAGCTGCGGTCGGAACGCGTACGACAGCGCAGGGGAAGAGCTATAATTACCTGAAACAGGGGAAGCTCAGCCTCGGGAAGCCAAGTGTGCACACTACTCGGTCTATCCTTGGTGGGCTTCCCCCGGGTCGCAGATTGAGCGATTCTCTCTACGCATTGGGTAAATGTTTGGAAATCTAGGTCGCAAAAAAACTAGTCTCCGGCGAGACTATCGAAGGCCGATTCTTACGACGCCTTTTGACCTTAAAGTGCCAGAGAGCTACGATTTCCAAGCTTCCTGCGGCGCAGGAGAGAAACTTCAGATCGGGGACCGGGAGGAACTCATTCTGATGAGAGCGCACTTACGTGGGTATCCCCAGCGAAGTTTTTCGGATTCGCGCTGCGAGCAATTTTCTACGCATGTGGTATTCAATCGAATCGGACTGCTTTGGACTCTCACCTCTACGACGCAGTACACGAACTGCCGTTATCCGTTGGAGCCAATCGTTACGACGCAGTTCGAGACCGGACTGCATTGAACTTTCATCTCTACTGCGCCGACGCAGTACACCAATTGCCGGTATCCGCTGTAGCCGATCATAACGACGCAGTTCAGGAATCAGGAAGAGGTCATTCTCAAAAATTCAATTGTGCTTTTATACGTGGGTATCATATCGGACTACATTATGCCAATCCCTGCGACGCGGTAAGTAACTCTCGTCATAAGGCGGCTCATCAAGAATGATAAGAGCTGCGGTCAAGCCGATCTTTGCGACGCGATCGAGGCCCTATATTTCGCGCGTGAAAACCATCGTCCGGCGCTTTTTATAGGACTCGGAGAGGCTCGCGAAGTTCATCAAGTCAAGGGACACCACCGATTCCCAGCAGGAAAGCGAAGAATCGAGTGAAGAAGCTCCGCTCAAAAGGCGACATTATTCCGTATGAGACTCCACCTACAAGAGAAATTTACGCTCACAGCAGTGTCAGCATCAGTGCGGGAGAACCTGCCGTACCCCCAGTCGAAGAGGAACTCGCCGTGCCCCCAGTCGAAGAGGAATCCGCCGTACCCCCAGTCGAAGAGGAACCCGCTGAAGAAACTCTCAGACGAATGCCACAAGAGATTGTCAGCTCGGAGTTTTCCCCAGCAAATGTCCGAATGAACAGATTCTCGAAGAGGCAATTCTCGTCGTTGAAAGATGACAATCGCATGGAGCCGGTAGGGGATTCCAACAAGAAGTCGCGGATAGCATCGCGAGAGATCGAGGCTACCGACGCAGGGTCGACTTCGGAGGAACCGACAATACAATGGGGAGCTTTGAATGAAGAAGAGCGCCTCTTACTCGATGATCTCCAGGCATCGAATGCCGAATCGAAGGCAGACCCTGTCGAGTCAAAGGTCGTCGCTGCAACGAAGGGACGCGATGATGACCGGTTCCTTGAACATTGTGTGACCAACAACTTCGCCTTTTTGAAATCTATACCGAATTCGGTGCAGTATTGGGCGTCCAGAAAAAGGGATTTGTTCGCTATGATAAGGCAACTCGGGGAACCGAGCTTTTTCCTGACGATGAGTGCCAACGAGATTCGTTGGCCTCATTTGTTGCAAATCTTGCATAAGCTTAGAACAGGCGTGACGACCGATGTGGACGATCCGATGAACCAGTTCTCTGCTAAGTACAGGGCCGATCTGGTGAACGAAGACTCTGTCACATGTTGTATCTATTCCTGGAAAATGATCGGAGCAATAATGAATATTCTCCAGTCCGATGAAATGAGTCCTCTCGATCCAAATCGCGTCATAGATTATTTCATGCGTGTTGAGTTCCAACATCGCGGAAGTCCACATGTTCACGTTCTTCTCTGGCTCGAAAGCGATCCCAAGGAAGCAGTGTCGGAGCATATGCCCCGAACTGTCGAGTTGATAAATCGGTTGTGCTCAGTCGACACAGAACATACAATTGTAGATCAACATTGTCGGGCCCTCCAAGTTCGTAAACATACATTCACTTGTTATAAGAATGATACGAACTCACGTCAACGATCAGGAAAATGCCGTTTCAATATACCGTATTGGCCTAGCTTGACAACGCAAATACTTCTGCCAATGGCGAAGGATGATGGTCGACGATCGAATTTTCGCAAAAAAGGTCACGACATGAAAAAAGCATTGGATGACAACGAGTACGCGAGTATTGAAGAATTTCTGTCAAGCTTCGCTCTGGACTACGATCAATATTTGAATGTCATTCGAGCGACGATTCTGCGTCCAACAATCATTTTCAGAAGGACCATTAAAGATATATGGACGAATACATACAATCCCTGGATTGCGAACACCTTGAAGTCGAACATGGACTTCCAATTCATATTGGAGGAATATAGCTGCGCATCCTATGTCGTCGAATACATCAACAAGACCAATCGCGGTCTGTCCAATTTACAGCGCCAATTGAAAGATCTGCAGAACGAGTACCCCGACCAGAATTTCACTGATCTTCTCAAAAGAATCAGTATTCGGATGCTCGACGCGGTAGAGATGTCAACCCAGGAAGCTGCGTGGTATCTCTTGAGACAGCCGATGAGCGAATCTAGTCGAGACAGCGTTTACATAGATTGCAACGTTCCCAACAGTCGGTTCGTCTGTCGGGAGAGCAAAGCTCAGATGGAAACTGAAAACTTGACAGACGATTCGACAGACATCTGGGCTCGTAACGCAATTCAGAAGTATGAGAGTCGACCCCCAGCGTTGAGCTCCATGTGCTTAGCCGATTTTGTAGCCATGATGACACCTGTTCGAAGGAAACGTGATTCGGACGGGCATCAAGTCTATAGACGGCGGACTCGCAGCCGAATCATACGATGGACGATATATGAGGTGTCTGACGTTACAAACTATAAGCGCAGTATGGTGTTGCTGTTCTTCCCCTTCAATAATGAACACAACGATCTACTGGATCATGATAAGCTCATTGATATTTATGATCAGCATGAGAGGGAAATTCTCCAGCGACGTCAACGATATGAAGTTCTCGAAAATTTAGCGGAAAATATTGCGGAATATCATGTGTTGTGGGATAACATGTCGTCAGAAGATCACGAAGTCGATATCCAGTCCGAACAGGGTTATGTTCATCGACCTGATGTTTTGGCGGAGCTCTCCAATGAAGACATTCGCAACGTAGCCATTCCCAACTCGCTGTCTTCAGTTATCCGGAAGCGGACTAACGTTCTATCCTCTATTGACTATTGCGAGTCGATGCGAAAAACTAACTTCGAGCAAAGAGCTCTTCTGAAACATTGCATAGCTAGAATTCATAATCCAGAACTGCCTCCAGTCCAGATATTCTTGACTGGCGCTGCCGGTTGCGGCAAGACCTTCACACTGAAATTGCTTATGGAGACATATAATCGTTTTTCTCAAGCACATGATACGCAACGGAATGTCTACGTTGCCGCTGCTTCGACCGGGAAAGCCGCTGTACTAATCGGAGGCACGACAGTGCATAGTGCTTTCAATATATCGATGATTCAACGACGAGGGGGACTCTCTTTCGAAGCTTTGCAACTCTATCGTAACGCCTTCGCCAATGTGAAGATCATTTTCATCGATGAGATAAGCATGATCGGGTCGGGCATTTTTCATACCATCAAGGATCGTCTGAAAAGCATCAACATGGAACACGATCTACCATTTGGTGGCATGGATATCATTTTTTGTGGTGATCTGCGACAGTTGCCACCAGTTAATATGACACCGATCTATGCACCTCTGCAACGTGGCCTCCATCGCTCAGCGCTGTGGCAATCGCTTAAGTTCTTTCCTCTGTCTCAGGTGATGAGGCAGAGCGATGTTGCCTTCTCTGGGCTTTTGACTAAGATTGGTAATGGTGATGAGCTTGACAGTCAAGAGCAGGCTCTCATTGAATCAAGGTTCCGTACGCGGGAGTGGTGTGATGAACACCTCAAGGGAGTCATCCGAATCTATATATATAAAAACGTATGTCTGTCTGTTTGTTTGTCTGTCTGTCTGTCTGTCTGTCTGTCTGGTGTCACCTATGGACTCGAAAACGGCTGAACCGATCGTCGTGAAAATTTAGGAGCGTGTTCTGGGCGATCCCCCGGTGGTTATAGGGGGGTCAGTTCTTCGATGCAATGAGTCCTTCTACCTTTAAAAAATTATTTGAGTGCTCCACCCACGAAAATACGAAAAATCGGGGAAATATTGAAAAATTCGAAATTCGCAAAATTCACAAAGGGCTGAACCGATCGCCGCAAGAATTTTGGGGTGGGTTCTCGGGAGTTGTAGAAAAGCGATGAGGGGGTCGTCGTGCCCGTATGATGAGGGTGAGCTCTTTTCCCCTTGGAAATTGAGTACCGGGTCCCTCACCGGAAATCGTTCGGCGGGAGTTTCCAGAGTTCTCCAGAGTTTTCGTGATTTCTTCACATCTATATATATAAAAACGTATGTCTGTCTGTTTGT